TTCGAATGTTACAGATTTCGAGTTTCTTCTTAAGGAATTATAAAAAGTATTGTTGTTTTAATCTTCTATTTAGGTAAGAGAGGCAATCATTGCAATTAATTTAAATTCGAATTATTGTTTTTATTTATTAATTTTGTTATTTCTTCAAATATTGGGAAAATGCCCAATTTGAATTTGAATTTCAAATTATGTTTTAATAACAGTTATTAAATGCTTTCCTATTTCTCGCGCATATTCACTTTAATATCTAATCACAATTCAAACATATAGAAATTCTTTAAATGATTCTTTCAATTTTCAAATACTTTTTTTTATATATACAAACCATAGCAACATAAAAAGTATTTAAAATTTGAGAATCATGTATTATTCATACCATATACAAAAATCAACTGATAATAGTAAGATCATCAATTTGAACTTAATCCCAAGAATATATTAATAAATTGTTCATTAATTGAACTTCATAGCATACTTAATAAAGAATAATTAAATCAGACTAATTTGTTATTTTACATAAGATAGTGGAGTATACAATTAATTATACATATTTTTATTTAATAATTATTATTTACTATTCTTCTCTAGATGAGTTTATTCATATTGAGAAACATTTATCAGTTTCATTTTATTCCCAAATTACTGTTTGGTGATCCATATTACGCAAAAACCAATATGAATGTAACATTATAAATTAGGACTTATAAGATAGAGGTTTAAAATACAGGATGCTCATTAGAACAAAGTTATGAGATACTTTGAAACAATATATAGTGATAAACATAGTATTTGATGGAATTTGTATTATGAAAAATAAAATTATTAAGGGGGTCTAAAAGATTAATAATGAAATGTCTTTGTAATATATTTTATAAGATTTAGAAAATTCAAATGACATCATATTTATTTAATTACACATTATTTTTATCTAATTATTTGAGAATTAAATCCAAAATTCTTTGAATTAACCGATTTTTAAAAAATATCATATATTTTTGGATATGTCTATTTCAGAAGTCCACAATAAACTTAATTTCTTAAATTATCTGAACTAACAAACAACATTAGCAATCTATCTAGGTGTAAAGGAAATTGAAATTGACCAGATATAATAGTTAACAGCATTTGTCTATAGACTTTCTTTCAAGTATTTTTTTAATTGATAATTAAAGGAACTCAAAGAGATAACTAACTTTGCATACTAAATCTAGCTTCTCTCCAGTCTCTGTAAATATATATAATATATTCTTATAGGGTAATCAATTAGAAAAGGAATATACAATTTCATAAAAATTATCTTCTGCAAATATGCCAGTCCCTAAACCATTGTTTTACTGTAGAGATTAATCTATTCTTGGAGTTCCTTTTTATGCTACAGAATATGTTGAAGGACGAATTTTTACCATAGAATAATTACTAAATAGTCCACAAGCTGAAAAAAGATTATTATTTTAAGGAGTTTCTAAAGCCTTAGCTCATTTACATTCAATTAGTTTTAATTATCTTGGGCTTGGAGATGTGGAATAATAAACTAATCATTACCAAACTTTAAATAAAAAATTACATAACTTATATAAATTACATGAAACTAATTTATCAACAAATCTAGAAGATTTATTATATTGGTTATCATTAAATACCCCAGTAAATTCTGAATTTGATAATCTTTGTTTGATACATGGTGATTTTTCACTCTCTAAAGTTGTATTCCATCCAACTGAACCAACAGTTTTGGCTATCTTAGATTGGTAATAAGCATAAATAGGAAATGCTTTTATTGATTTGGCAAGTTTTATTTTACCATACTATATACCTTTTTCAAATGGATAACATTAAATTGATGGATGGTTTGGTGTTGAAGAAATAATGGGTTAACCTAAACTCCAAGATGTATTATCAACTTATTTTACAACAAGATCAAGTTAAATCATTCCAGATATCAGATATTAAGTTATTATGTCAATTTTGAAATCATCAATTGATTAACAGATACTCTATAAATAAACTAAACATGAGAAATATTAATAGAATTCTCTTTTTTTAGCCAAAGCTGGTAATGATATAATTTTGGAATTGACAGAAGGAGATCCTTTTGGTATAAAAATGAGAGCTACTAATGATGCTTAAATATGGTCAAATTGGCCTGTTTCAGAAAGATGCAAAAGTTACTATTATAGAATTAAGGATTTCTTGAGAGATGAAGTATTTCCAGTAGAAAAAGCCATCTTAGATAAAGCTAGAGAAGTTCCAAAATCTCTTCCAAATAAAACAATTACAGAAATAGAAGAACTTTAAAGAAAAGCAAAATCAATAGGATTATGGAACTTATTTATCTAGGATCCTATGTATGGTAAAGGATTATCTTAATTGGAATATGTATTCATATCAGAAATTATAGGATTAAGTTATATAGGTCATGAAGTATTTAATTGTTTAGCACCTGATACAGGAAATATTAGATTATTAATTGCTTATGGAACATAAAATTAAAAGGAGAAATATTTGAAACCATTATTAGAAGGTAAATGCAAATCATTTTTTGCTATTACTGAGAAAGATATATCATCTACAGATTAACATAATATCTAATTAACTATTACTTCTACAGAAGATGGATTTATTTTAAATGGTGTAAAATGGTTTGTTTAAAATGCTGCTGATGAAAGAGCAATCTTTGGAATTGTAGTTGGTTAATCATCTCAATATACAAATAATCCTAATGAAACATAATCTATGATTCTGGTTGATATGAATAATCCTAAAATATAATTAACTAGATAATTCTCTTCTTAAAATTTCTATGATTTACCTCACAGTTATTCTGAGATTGAATTTAATAATGCTTTTATTCCAAAAGAAAATCTATTAGGACCATTTGGAGGAGCATTCAAAATGATTTAAGATAGATTATTAGAGGAAAGATTAAATCATTGTGTTAGACTTAATGGATTAACTAGAAGAAGTTTAGATTTAATATTGTCTAGATCTGAGAAAAGAATAATTTTCAAAGAAAAATTAAAAGATAATGCTGCTTTCTAAGAAAAATTAGGAGATTTGGAAATTTCATACTAATCTTGCAGATTATTAACTTTAAATGCTGGATTATTATTAGATTCTGTTGGAAATAAACATTTAAATGCATATTTGGCTGTTAGTGAATGTAAAGCTCACATTCCAAAGGCTAGTTAATATATTTTAGATTCATGTATGTAAATATTTGGAGCTGAAGGAGTAACTGAAGAACAACCATTAAGCCTTATATTCCGTTTTGCTAGAGCACTTAGATTCATTGAAGGACCATGTGAAGTGTATCTTAGACAAATTTCAAGATTTGTATATGGAAATCACATGTTTAATGATTTAAATAATGCTTAAGGATATGGATTAGCAAAGCTATGATTTATTTAGTATTTAACAAATAAAATCTGACCATATAAATTAATTTATGGATTCTTATTTAATTTATTATATGATCATTTTAGTATTTACAAATAATAAATAGTACAAACTGAGTATTTTATATTAAGTTATTTCCCTTAAATAATTTATTTAAATCTTTATTTTCGATGAGCACAGCACTTGCTAAACCTAAAAAATTAAAACTTACAGATTATGAAGTCTTTCAAACCTTGGGTACTGGTAATGATTAATTGAAATGCTGAATTTTAGGTTCATTTGGAAGAGTGAAACTGGCAAGGAATAAACAAACTAACAAATATGTTGCCTTGAAAAGTTTAAAAAAGGCTGAGATCATAAGACTTAAGCAAGTTGATCATGTGATTAATGAAAATACCATATTAGGAAATTTACAGCATCCATTTATTGTATAATCTATGATCATTCTTAGGTAACTTTTGAAGGCTTCTGCTAAGATCCAAGATATCTCTATTTAGTCTTAGAATTTGTATCTGGAGGAGAGTTGTTCACTTACTTAAGAAGTATTGGAAGACTCGATACTTAACATGCAGCGTAATATTTTCAACAATTCTTAGTTTTTATGGTGCCTAAGTTGCTTCTATGTTTGAGTATCTACATTCCAAGAACATCATCTATAGAGATCTTAAACCAGAGAACTTATTGATTGCAGATGATGGATATCTCAAATTAACAGATTTTGGTTTTGCTAAAGTTGTAGAGGGAAGAACTTATACATTGTGTGGAACACCAGAATATTTGGCTCCTGAAATTTTATTAAATAAAGGACATGGTAAAGCTGTTGATTGGTGGACTTTGGGAATTTTAATTTATGAAATGAATGCTGGAATTGATCCCTTTTCAGATGAAGATCCCATGGCCATTTATCAAAAGATCTTGAAGGGCAAAGTTAAATTCCCAAAAAGTTTTGATAAGTAATTATAAAATATTAAATCAAAAGGAATGCAAAATCTTTAGTCAAGCATTTACTTGTGGCTGATCTTTCTAAAAGATATGGAAATTTAAAAAATGGTAATACTCTTATTTCTAATTTAAGGTGCTGCTGATGTTAAAAATCATAGATGGTTTGCAAGTCTAGATTGGAATCTCCTTACTTAAAAGAAATTACCTGTTCCATATAAGCCAGTTGTGAAGTAAAAACACTATTCTCACTTATTTTATTAGAGCTCCAAATGATACCTCCAATTTTTCATCATATCCAGAATCCGATACCTAAAGCCCTGCTCTTAAACCAGCAGATGATCCCTTCTTAGAATGGTGATTAATAGAGCATTATTCATTATAATAAATTCAACTATGTATTCTCAATATATAAACTATATTATAATTATTAATGAGATGTCAACAAATTTAAAATGTATTAGGAATAACTATAATCTGGCCAAATAAAAATATGTATATATATATATATAAGTTCATAAAGTAATTATATTAATTATAAAGATTATTTTTATATATATGTATATTTTATATGATAAATTTAAATAATTATTTTAATTATAAGGTTTGTTAATAAAAATAATGATTAATTATACTTCATCAATTAATATGATTTTATTTTCATATCATATTATATTATTTTCTTCTTCTTCAATTTATTCTAAAATTTTTATGAATTATTTTTGAGAAATATTGGTTAATTTATTCTTAACTTTTATTCCAGCTTACAATTTTTACCATTTCATTTTTAACATCTCTCTATTTCTATCTAACATCAATTATTACACTATTTATTCATTCTATTTCATTTATTAATATTCTCTAAATAGTTTTTCAACATTTATTAATTAATCTTATATTTAATGACCCATTTTCAATTCTATTTATAAATTGAGTATTGATTCTAAATAATATCTAATTTCTTATAAATCTCTCATTGTTTATGAATGTTATCTAGTTCTCAATAGTTCGCTTAATAATATTTAATAATAAATACTCTTATAGCTTATAAGAATATATCAATTGATTTATCCAGTTTTAATCATTATTGATACATTTTAAGAAAGATGATGGTAATTAATAGTATTAAATGAATCGTAAAATAATTGGATTAGATATAAGCTCTTCCTTAGAATTCTATTTAATTATTTGTCTATATTTAATATAAAAGTATAAAATTTTTTATCCATTAACTCTTAATTTTTCTGCTAATGAGAGATGTAAATTCCAATTATCTAAACATTCTTGATAAATTATGATATCTTGATTATCGTTTTAATTGTTTTAGATAACTTATATAGATATTAATTTTTCTTCTGAATAACCTGTAATTATTAATGATTGTGAAATTAATTTTGATCTTCTCATTTGTACACTTTAATTTAATAATGATAAAATATTCTTTAATTAAGGTTTTACATTTTATGGAGCTAATATGGTTTGAATAATAATCTACAATTCCTAAGAAATTGTGGATAAATTTAATATGATAACTATTAATAATAAATATCCACTTTAATCATAACAAGGTGAATTACAAGATTGAATATAATTATATAAGCAATTAAAATACTCCATCAATACTTCATTATTCTTTAGTGGAAATTAAGTATTTTATGTCACAGTATTGTCATTAGAAATATCCTAATTAAAATAATCTAAGTAATAATCAGGAATAACTATTGTTGTAATAAATTCTTATGCCAATATTAATTTGAGTCCAATTCGGATTAAGTGATCATTCCATTCATCTAGATACAAATTATATTCACAATAATAGCAATAATCCAAAAAACATTCAACCATATCTTCAGTTATGTTATAATTTTAGCATTCTAAAAATTCAATATATTTTAAATATTTTTCTTTTTATAGTTTATCTTCTATTGATTTTATGGAATAAATTGCTAATGGAAGATTATTAGAAAAGTTACAAAGATTAATTGCTAATATTAGATATGCATGTTAATTCTAACCCATACATTTAAAAGCTAACTAAAACAACATTACACATTAATTAATTAGAGATGTTGAAATTGATAATGGTAAATTAACTACTCTTTAGTTGGTTTATAAAAGATATTCATAAAATACTCTTTTTTCATTTTCATTAATTACTTAAAGAATAGAATACTCATCATAATCAAATGAATTTTAGTTTATAAAATTTAATTATTGGTTATTTTTATTCTATTAATTGATATTATATTAAAGATATGGTTTAAGAACACTTTGTAATTATTAATGTTTTATTGTTTTAATTATGAAAGTCAAAGGAATTTAATAATTGTATTGAAGATCTTACTAAAAATCAAAACTTTTAAGTTCTTAAATATTAGTTCTTCCAAAATAGTTTTATATTTATATTACTAATAACTCAAAAGGTATCAAAAGATATTCAAAACTTGAATCTGCAAAATAGATCTTTTAAGGTTTGATATTTTTTATTAATTTTGATTAAATATTCAATAAAACATATTATGAGTAATTATTCATAATTTCTCCTTATGGAAATGAAAACTTAAATAAAAACTGAATTGCATCTATCAAATTTTGATTCCAACAAATACTTTTAATTTGATTTATACAAAAATATATAATATTAATTAATTGAATCTATTATTCCAAAGTTACATCTTATAACGATATAAAACCACAACATAACAGATAACTTAAAATAACAGATTCTAATTATTTTAACTTATCTTCAAAATTTAGATTTTATACCTTAAGTTTAGAATGATATATTATTTGATTGATTATTTTAGTATTGATTAATTCACCTTAAACTATAGATTTAGTAATTTCAAATATTTAATCAATCTAAATTATTTTTATAGTTTTATCTATAAAGAATTATTCAACTTATAATAAGTATTGACTTTTAATTAATTAGTATTTTTAATCTTAATTTAATTACTTTTCCATGTTTTACAAAATTATAATTAAATCTGAATGGTTATTAAAAGATAGACATAGATCTTTAGAGTGTTTATAATTCATTTTAAAGATGATTTGCTTCCAAAACCCAAAACCAATTAAATCTTAGTAACATTTAAGACCAAAACTATTATTATAATCTAGATAATCTTCATATTTGAAATTAAGAATCTCAGGATTCATAGCTTCAAAGATATTTTATAATGCTTAATGTGCAATTGAAGCCTAATCTAATAAATGTTTTCGCTTTAATGTATTTCTAATCATTTGAATATCTACTCCAATTGAATTTTTTTATAATGGTGAATATTTTGAAGCTAGAATTACTAAATACTTTCCTAATTAATCTAAAAGGTTAAATTAATTACATATATATATGCATAATTTATAATTTTGAAATTTTTCTAAAAGATTCAAAATAAAATTTATTGTATCAATTTAAGTTAATTTAATAATATTTTAATAATCTAATTATTATTATGCAAGCTTTTCTTATATATGAATTTTAAAGTCTTCTGAAATTTATATTAATAATTAGATAATCTAAAATAATGTTGACTCATTAAATATTACTTTTCTTTTCTTATTTTTTATTAAATTTGATCCATCCACTTTATTTAACAATAATATTTTAGTATCGTTTGATGATCGAACATCTATAGAAGCTATTGATGTTATCAATTAAACTTTATCATTTTAGATCCATTCATCATCAGGATCATAAATTGAAAGATGATCAAATGAATCATTATTAATTACTTAAAAAGACTCTGATAACCTGGATTGATTTTCATTCCTACTTAATTTTGAGTTTTTTAATTAAAACTCTAATTTTTCACAACTTTATAATAAATCAGAATTACAAACTGAAAAACTCTCGGATTATTCATCATTTTGAAGAATCTCATTTTGTAACTCATTTTAATTAAAGATTTCTTATAAAACAATTGGAAAGTATTTATTTAGATATATTTGATATTCCTCTTGTGATAAATCATCTTTATATTTTATAATTAATTCAATTACTTTTTTATAATTTCCTTATTATATATAAGATTCAATTGATCTTCTAATATCATTAACTTCAAGGAATAATTACCCTGCTTCTTCATATTCTTTACAGAAATAAGCTGATTCTGCTGTTTCCATTTTTGAATTTAACTATTTATATAATCTATAAGCATCTTTATATTTCTTTGCTGAAAAATAACATTGTGCTGCCCTGTTTTTGATATTCAAATCTTCAAAAATCAAGGCTGCTTCATAAAATAAATTTTCTCCATTATCTATAATAGTAGCTTAAGTTGCTAATTAATAAGCTTATGCTTTTTATTCTAATTGGTATTCTTTAGCAAATTTAAAGCATTTTTTGGCTTATTCATAATTATTAACTCTAAAAAAGTTTAGTCCTTAATTTCTCCAACTATTCTTATTATCAAATTATTAACTAAAAAGGATTTCAAATTCTTATACATTTTCAATTTATGATGTATAAAGAATTTCTATTACTTTTAAATCATCCCATAATTTTTAAATGGTTTTTCTCTTTGAATAATTTTAATCATAAATAATAATTTATCTTTTTGCTCTTGTTAGAGCTACATATAATAATTTGAGTTCTTAACAAATTGTTTAATAGTTTACAAATCTATCAATATTATCTGATATATTTAATTATTAAGTATTTTATATTAAAAATAGCTTTTTCATTTAAATAGTTTCATAAAATTTATGATTTCTTAATATATTGGGATTTTATTACATTTTAATAAAAACATCTTTAATTTAAAAGTTTTTCAATATATTCCAATCATCACAAGTGCTATCACTATCAGTAAAGAAATTAAATAAAATAACATCATCAAATTCTAATCCTTTTGCTTCATAAATTGTCAGTATTAAAGTTTATTAAAGTGAATTAGGTACTTTGGGTTTTGATTCTTAATCCCGCACAATAATTACTTAATTACTTCCAAAAGATACATAAATTGATTCAATCTTAGAATTCTTTTTTAAATAATTAAGCAATATCTGTACATCTTCACTTTAAATCACAATAGGTTTAGGACCTTAGAAATAAGATCTTTCTTCCTTATCAAATACATCAATCTTATAAGGAAATAATAATTCTATCATTCTAATAATAGAATTTGTTAATTATAAGATTTAATCATGAAATCTAAAATTTTGAAACAATTTAATAGTGGATATATTATTGTTTCTATATTTTTTCTTTAAGTTTGATTCATTTAAAAGATTTCTAAATTCTACAAACTATTATCCAGTTCCCTTTTAAATGTTTTAAGCATTAACTCCACAACAAATCAAACCAAAATCTGCAATTTAATTTAATAATATGAATATTGCATTTGGAATATCTTAAAGTTCATCTAATATTAAATAATGTACATTTTCTAGAATATCACTTCCATATTTTAATTCATAATTTATATGATTTACAACATCTAATATATCATAATAACCTAAATTCTATTTAATTAATTCATAATGTTCAAAAGCTTTATATAATAGCTTTGTATACTCATCTGACAATACTTTATGATAATATGAATAATTATCATAATTCATATATTTATTTGGATATTCATAAGATGTAGCATGACCTTTAATTTTTGACATTATTTCATACCAAACTAATGCTGGATCTAGTTATTTGATCTTCTGATTTGAATGTTCTAATTTTTTAATTATTTTTGGCCATATAAAATTATTAAATAAATCAAAAGTAACTTCTTGTGTATTGTTATAAACTATAAATTCTTTATCATCATAGTCTTTTATTTTCATTTAAAGTTTCTCATTATTATGTTAACTTTATTGATTTAATGAAACAATCCCTATCTATTCATTATGCCATTAAGCAGAACAATGTTAAGTTTAAGAGAATTTAAAATAAGGATTAAGAAGAGAAGCATCAATAGAGAAAATAAGTTTTCTTAATGTTAAAAATGCTGGATATTCTGTTATTTCACTCAATTTTTAAAACCTACCCATCATTTTTTCATAGTCATTTATTTCTTCTTCTTCTTCATCTGTATCTGAATTATTCTCGTTGATTTATGACTCTTGAAGTTCATTAAATATCTCATATAAACTCTCCTCTTCTATATTATAAGATTCACTTATATTTGAAAACTTTTCTTTAATTAATTCTTAAAAATTCTCAATTAATTATAAATAATTTTATTTTATTTACCAAGCTAATAAAGGACTAGCTGTTATAAATAATGTTTTTAATGTAAGTTTATCCTTAGGTATAAATTAACTTTGAGTTTATTATTTGACTTAAGATTTAATAATATAATTTTACATTTTTAATTCCTATCTTAAATTAAATAAAGCATCTAAAATAAATAATTTTAATAAAGCACAAGTTGTTTTACCAGTTCCACTTCTACCCAAAATAAATGTAATACCTTACCAAACAATTGCTTATAATTATTGTTCACTTATTTTATTCTTGAATTTTGGTAATTTTTATATAAGTTTACTTATCTAAATAGCTGAAGGTAAGCAAATGTATTCCTTTATCAAATAATAATTTTCATTTTAAGCATTAATTTTCAGAATTTTTTTTTAAATTGATTCATATAATTTTTTAGTCATCCAAGTATTTGATTAATTATCAAATATATATAAATGACTATTCAATTTTATAGTTTCAAATGATCTAGGTTATATTAATAGATTTTTATTTTTTGTTTTTATTCCTATTTTAATTTTAGTTGATGATTAACAAGACTTTTATTTCTCTTTGATTAATTTAATATTTGATAATATATCATTACCTTTTAAATATTAATGAAGGTATTCATCTAATATTGTTTAACATATTTTTATTTTATCAGCATAATTTCTATAAGAATCTTAGATTATATCAATAAAGCACATTTTATGAATAAATTAAATCTCCACTAATTCACCTAAAAAATTTGTAATGTATTATTTTTATGGTAAAATTAAAACAATTATTAATAAAGATTATAATGAAACTAAACTTACACTAAAAGCATATTAAAAAGGCAATTTTAAACTACAACAATTTAAATTTAATATCCTTGTAAATTCCTTATTCTCTTCATTAAATCTACCTTATAATAAATAAGACATTATCATAAGTAATTGTATATTATATATATTTGTCATATTTCTAATGAAATTAACTATCTAAATTAATAAGTATACTTGATATATCAAATTCCCATAAACGATTAGGAAATATTTAATTGATATTAACTGCTTATATAGACTATTCTTTGTATTTAATTTCCTTTGAATATTAACTTAAAAAATGGATTATGAATTAATGAAAATATTGAAATTATTATGTCTTCTGATTAAATTATTCATAAATTAAATGCAATTTACTTTAGTATTAATTTAAATTTTCATGATATAATTTAAGTTGATCCTCTTTATATTAGTTATCATTCATTTTAATGATAAAATAATCAAAAAAATTTTATTAAAGAAATAAATACATTTCATTTTAGAATTATATATTATTTATAATTTTTTATATATAAAATATAAAATAAATAAAATTTTATCTAAACATTAATTTTATAAATTTTGTTATCTGTTAATTTATATCATTTTATATTCTTTATTATAATCTTATTGCAATTACTCTCTTAAGTCAACACAACAATAAACATTCAAAAATAATATGGCATCAAATGAATTTATGATTTTTTTACTTTACATAAGTGAAGATCATTTTAAATAATATGTTTATAGATTATATTATAATATTAATTATGGAATTTAATAATAATGTGATCTCAAAAATACCAAGTCTTAAATGTAATCCTTAAGGTTTTAAATAATTATAGAAGCAGATAACTCTTTTCAAAGATACCAAAATCCATTGAATGAATTATAAATTAAAAGCGAATCTAATTCCTTTGAATAGAAATAACCTAATTATTTAATTCCTATGTAGCCTTACATATTTTATCCTTCCACACCAATATATCCAATCCTAGGTGTTAATTATAACTTAATGTAGGAGAAATAAAGAGTGAATATATCGAATAAGCTAATCAATTCATGAAGCATGGAATCTAACATAGTCTAGCAAGCATGATATAATAACAAATTAATACTTAGAATGAATTCAAAACTAATTAAACTGTTTATGGTTGCAAAAAGATGTGTGAAATTGATTCCATGTTAATTGGCAGATATTACAATTAAAAGTATTGGGTAATGAGTATATTCTTATAGAGATATTTCAAAATTCAAACTAAAACTATAAAATAGATCAAACTTAAACCCAAAATACTGATTGGCTTAAGTCAAGATTGAAACATAGATATAAATCTTAAATTTATGCATCATTTTTAGAAATGATTGATCTAATCTAAGAAGAAGGAGAGTTATTTATGAATGCAAGAACTCAAGCAATAAAGTTATAAAATATAAAAGTGTTTTAAAATCTGGAAAGATAGATTTAAAAATTGGTAAAATCAAAAAAAAATTTTGATGTCTTTTTGCTTGAAATTTAAAAAGTCTTAGCAGATTTTATTTTCTCGTCTTTAAATTGATTATTAAATAATGAATATCTGACTTTTAAATTAATAAGAAAATGTTGCTGAAATACAATTTATTATTTATTCTTAATTTTAAATATATATTTTTTGATTGAATTAAATAATTAAAAGGCGAAACATTGAATAGTTAAAACATAATTTTAAATCCCTAAATTAATTGTTAAAACTTATTAAGATAAATTCTTTATAAAGAAATACATTAAAACACAATTTGTTAGAACTCAAACAATTAAAAATATATGATCTAATTATTTAAATTAACTTAATCTTAAAAATTCATGAATTTTCTTAAACCTTATACTTGCTAACTTTAGTAAGATATTATTTTAGATATCTAATATTAGCAGTTATGGTTTTTTTCCTGGAATATATTTGATCTAATCTTATAAGGTTTATCAAGATATTAGTCACTTATGATTGTTATTTTTGATAAATGAAGACAAGAATATTTGTATGTATTTTCTACTTTTGTTTAATTATGATAAGCTAATAATAATATATTAATTATTTGATCATTTATGATAAGACTCTATGAATATTAGAGATGAAAAAATAAAATAGATTAAAAAGAGATTATTAGGCAATGAAAATTTTGTAAATGAATAAGAAAATAAATAGATAGATAGATAAAAGATAAAGTTATAAACAATAGATATCTAAAACTATAATGGAACCTATTTATTGATGCTGTAATTAATACTTGATGTTATTACATTAATTTTATTTTGTTTAAATTTCTAATAATTTTTTCAAATAAACTATGTCATATTCTCAAAACCTAACTTGGGTCTGGATTAACTATTAATCCTGTAAATATTTAGTGACAGTTGCAATTCCAAAAGTTATATTTACATGTTTAAGCTATTCTTAATGAGTTTCAAAAACTCCATCATATCTTAAATTAATCTGTAATAATATTATGAACATTACTTTTGATGCAGATCTAATTCTGTTTTTTTTTATCATCAAGAGATTCTATAATCAATTATTCGTGTGGTCTAATTATAGTTGTCACTTTTATATTTCAAATTTCTAAAATTGATTATCATAATTTAAATTACCATTAACTCTACTTATTTTCTGATTATTGTCAACACACAATCTTAATTTCCTTTTGTTTAATATTATATATATCTGCATATTCAATATAAATAAATTATCAGTATTTTCCTCTTTGAATCCAATCCAATTCATATTTAGTTCTTTATATACCTCCAACTGATTATACATTTCCTGGTTAAGCATTATTGCTAGTTCTGAACATGATGTCACAATCCTTTGAAAATCTTTCTTGATTTGTAATATTTGTATATGAATTGAATTTATCATACATTTTGGATTCTGAATAATCAATTACACTTGATGATCCCTCCAAATATCTTCTTATCTTATTTTTTATTATTATTTACTTTTGCATAATTCTTGTCTATTTTACCACTAATCTCCCCCTTAATTCTACCAATTTGACCATTATTCCATTATATATCTGCAGGATATAATTCTCGATCTTTAGATTTTATCACTACAATATTATCACCTTTTAACTTAAATATAGGTTTATGGTAATTTTAATTTTAACTACATGATTATTCTACAATTCAATACTTTTTTTTCTCCTTTCCCTTCAATCTCAATTAATCATAAAAGTCTCTCTCTAATTATAGTATTATATTAAACTACATTCAACTCCATAAGTATTCACAGATTTTGATTTCTAATCATTCTTACTAACTTAGGCTTTTAAGTAATGATTGGTAATATCATAAAGAGACTAAGCTCTTTCCTATTTTCCTTCTGGGAATATTTAAGTTGGTCCATAATTTTTTAGTAATCCAGCCCTCATTTTAAATAACTAATTAATTTTGATATATTATAAATAATCAATTTTTATAAATAGATTATTTTTATATCTAAATGAAAATAGTCATTTATATATATAATAATATAGAATTGAACTAATTTAATTATTGTTATTTACTCCCTTCTTGGTATTAACATTAATGATATACATTTCCCTATATATATTTTAAGATTATAACATATCTTATATTAAATAGAAGTAGTAGGTTTATCTTGAACTAAATGAATTGATTATTTATTATTTTTAATAGTTAATTGCATATTTAACTATATGCAAACCAAATTTAAAATTGATCAAAAGATACTAAAAAAAATTAGTTTAAGTAAACAATTTATTATTAAATTCAAAACCACTTATATAGGATAGTGGATGGCAATATGCTGAATAATAATATACAATAATCATAAATAATGGAAAAAACAAATTACTCATCATCGCTATTGTTCAATAACAAAACTTGTATTACAGTAATTATTAAGACAAATTCTTGATAGCCCTTTGAATAAAGGACTCGAAGTATGAGTAGAAACATAAGTACTTCTTTAAGCACTTTTAGAATTCTTTGTCCTTTCTGTCTCTTTAAAGAGTTTATTATAATTTTCTTGTAATTCAATTATACTTTCATCTTTTTCAATCATTGTTATTTTTAATCTCTCAATATCAATCTTACCTTATTATATAATTTTTAATTAATCCTGTATTTACAATCTCAGTATTAATAAATCTTCAGAATACTATTAATTTTCAGCTTCCAAAATTTTGATAGTTTATAGAAGTTCATAAATGTGTCCCTATAGTTTCTTATTGCATTCTTATACTACATAAATTTGGGCTAATAGATTATAAGAATAATTAGTACATTAATAAGTATTAGTTTGATTTTTCACTTGTTTATTAGCCTTTAATTTAAGATTCAATTTCATCAAAGCCTTATAATGTTAAGCATCTCTCTTCAAACTTTCATATTCAGTCTTCGATACTGAACTAAATATACATTGTTACATACTTCTAACTGTATCATCTTTCAACTCTATTATAGAATCCTAACTTAAGTGACGGTTTGTGTTATTTGTTGGATTTGTGGTGTAGTTTTCATCTTTTTTGCAACTTGAAAGAAAACAGTATGCCTTAAATAATAATCAAATTCATATACTTCCTACTGAAACTCAGGTGATAATTAATTTGAATTATCATCTCCAAATGAGGGGATTTCTAAAGTTTTAAGCTCAATTTTTTTGGTTTCACAAGGCTTAAATAAATCATGAATTTAAGTCTATGTTAAATATATGTTAGAAGACATTGTTTTTAACAAAATAATTTTTTTATTTATACTTTTAATAAATTTCATAACATCTATCCTAACTTCTTTATTTTTTATTATCTAGCTGACTCTAATTGTGATACTAAATAGCTTATCTCTTATTATAGGTTTTTTAGATTTGCATAGTCAGTCTCTAAAAATACTTATTCTATTTTTCCACATTCTCTTGAATTATCATATTCCAAATCAAATTTCATAAATATTCTAGGTTTGAATTCTTCTTCATATCCTCTAGAAGCTATCTAAATTAATATTATTAAAATATCACTTAAATGTCATATCTCCATTCCAAATTTTTATAATATGGCATACCATCTGACTCAATGAAACTGAGTCTTTTATGCAATTGAGTTGAATTTGCTTCTAATTTCTATATTCATCTTATTATTGCATTACTTGTAAAAACAATGCTTTTCTATCTTCCTTAAATTTCAGAAATTCTACATTTTGTCTAAACTATCTATCACCAAATTTGAATTTTCCAAAATAGGACACTAATTTCAATGCTAATCTAAAGAATTTATCTGCTTCATTCTCATCAATTTCAAGCACCTCTGTAAATATAATTAATTTCTATCTAAACCTGCTAATGTTGTTTGAGTATCATGTTTAACAATATAACTTATTGCGAAATTTATGATTTTTTCATATGAATTCAAATCAACTGCATCTAATATTTGAACTTCTTCAATAAATTTATCACTCAAAATCATAATATGGAAAAATTTTAATATCAACTAAAAATATCATTTGTTCATAGTAAGAATTTAATTATTGAATAAAGACAATGTTTAATTTATAAGTCTATGTCTATATATAATAAAATCACTACTATTTATTAATAATACTCTTAAAAATATTATATAGAATTTTATAGGAACAGCAAACACTATTGAAATATTTATAAATAATATTAAAATTAAAGTCTTGATTCTAATAATAATAAAATAAAAATTATCATTATCATTATTAATAAAATTATTTATATAAATTATTTACATTATTGATATCTTTTAATTTTTAGATATTTAATAAATATTCTAATATCATTGATATATTCTTATTAAAAATACAAAAATAACATAGTTACTAAAATTAAGTCTTTTTATACTGAATGATGATAATTTTTTATAAATATTAAAATCATTTTTTTAAAGATTAAGCTTGCTTAACATTATTTTAAAAAACAGGTTTAGGTAATTTAGAAGCAGGTGTTAACTAATTTCTTCTGATTGTTGTTTTTTTTTCAGTTATTGCCATTTAGTGAGGTTATATTGTTAGATTTGATAATTATTACTATTAAATTATTGGTTTTACTGCTAATTATGATATTTATTATTATTATTGAGTTATTTCTGTTTCAACCTTCCCATTCATATTCTGTAATTCTCTTTCAAATTGCTTAAGTTATCTTTAAAATCCAAAATTAGGACAAACTACACTTCTTTTTAATCTTACAAATTAGAATGCCTCTTAAAAAGACATTCCCTATTTTCTCATGAGATATGCTATAACTGTTGCAGCAGATCTAGATACACCAGCTGCACAATGTACCAAAACACTTCCCTTTTACAATCCCTCATCTATTTATTAGTAGGTATCTCCCCATATTCTTTTTATATTACATGATTCAATATCTAGAATATTGTAAACCTACGATTATTTATTAGATATATACTTTATGAACAATATCAGAATTAGGAGGATATTTAACATTCAAACCGGACGCTACTGTTAATACTGTTTTGATATTCTTTTATTTCAAGAGTTATTAATTGATTGCTGCAGTGTAGTCTCCTAACCACAAAGCTCCTTAACTCTCTGTTTAATCTATAATAGTATTCATGCTTTTGTAGTTATTTATGCCTCTAAATAGCATATTGATGTTGCTTATTATTCTAGAAATAAAAATAATTAATAATTTAAATAACAATTTAGTTCATATTTATATCAACTCAATTCTTTCAAAATCTTTAGTTGATAATATGCATTTCTCTATATTTTTCACTTACTTCTAAAATTATCCATTCATTCTTAATAGTTTCAACCAATAATAAAAAATTACACCTTCTAATATATTTTTATGTTTCATATCGTTAATTTAATCATAAACAATGATTTTGATCCTAAATTAATCTAGCATTCCATTTTGAATTGATATCTATTATTAAATTGTTCTGAAATTCAAGTAGATTTAAATTTAAGCTTTTATCAAATGACTATTGATAATATTAATTAGAATTAAAAGATTATTTAATAATTAATCTGAATTTTTGAATTAATCAGAATAAGCTATTAATAAATAGGCAATTTTTTTCTTCTTTTTAAATAAATAATATCTCATCGTTAATAGATTTATTACTATGAAAAATAATATAAAATGCCTTAATAGTATTAAGTAGAGTATAGTAATTACTTAATAGCTTAACATTGGTTGCTGTTAAAAATTCAAACAAATAAGAAATAACAATGCCATAAAAGGAAATATAAAAACATTTAAAATCTTCTGTTTTTGAGTCTATAATTAAATACCTGAGAATGTTAATTTAATCATCAAAATTTTTTCCAAACATCAGTTATATACATAATGTCTTCAAATATTTCAAATGCCTCCGTAAAAACAAATGAGATCACTAATATGATTGCTGAATACAACTTTGAAGAAGAGATGCTTGAAATAGCGGCTCTTTAGCAAACTTTCTCTGATTAATTTGACGAGCTTGTAGGAATAAATATATAAGCTCTAGAAGAAAAACAAAAAAAAGATTAGTAAGACTATAAGCTAATTATATTTTAGAAAGTTGAACAAGATGAAGTATAGAATTAGAAAATCTACAAAATAAATAAGAAAAGGGAAAAAAATTAATCAAAGTTAAGTGAAAAAGCAATCTATTGTGGAGAGAAGTCCTTTTAATACAGATTATATTAATAATCATTACTTTGAAATAAAAAAGTATTAAGGGGAATGGCAAAAATAAGAATAGGAAGCTTTTGAAGAACAATTTGCTATTCCCCTCTATTAAAATGGCTTCCAAACATAAAGTATGTGTTTTTTAATTAACATTTAGAATTGTTCTATAAAGATTAACAAGATATTATGGATATTAACAGGCTTGATTTAAGCATAAACAGAAGCATTAATAATTTGAACAAAAACTCAATGAATCTAAGTTCGTCGTCATCAAATCTAAGTTCGATTTGAAGAAACCCCTTATTTCTGAGGAAGTCAGAAAAAAGGGGTTGAAATAAAGTGCGATCACAAATTAAGTGACAATGCTTTCATCAACACCTATATAATATTTAAAAAAAAATAATTTCTTTCTTTATTTTTTAATATATTTAACTATATAACAATATAAAAATTTATCCTTATTTAAAATCTGGAAATGAGAAATCATCTGTTAAGATAAGCTGATAAACATTCTTTATGAAAAAAAAAATTTCGATTTAAATTTCTTTTGATTTTTAAATCTAAATTTATTATTATAGATTTAATTAACAAAGACTTTTTATTTGTTTTAATTATATTTTGTACATCAAATTTTATTTATTTATTATAAATGAGTAAGGAAGAGGATAATGGGCATATATCGTCAAACAATTCTCTAGATAATTCCTAAAATTATGCTTATTTACTTTAATAAGAATATTATGAGAAATTCAAAATGGGATAAAATTTATATGAACAATCAGCTACATTATCAAGAATATCATTAGGAGAAAAAACTAGTGAAGATAATAATAATACTTACACATATATCAATATGGTTCATTTACAAGAGAGATTATCAGAATAAATCTTGAAAAATCAAGTAACTTGGTTGTTAAATTGGTTAGTTCTTGGAGAATAAAATTGAATAGCTTTCTAAAGAATTAATGGGAGCATTAAATCATGTTGCTTTACTTTAAAAATAAAATGAATTACAATCAAGTTTACTAAAGGATGCAAATGATAAATTACAAAAAAATACAAAAGCGATTGGAATAGAGAAAACCATTCATCAACACCTTAAAAGAAAGATATCAAAATTATAATAAATAAATACGTATATCTCAAAATGAAACTAGCAATTATTTAGATTAAGTAGAGACTATGTCACAGAAGAAAGAATCTATCATCCTATCTAATTATAAGCATTCTAGTGTTAGTGTGTTTAAGACATCCCATCAATCAAATAGTTCATCTTAAAGAAAATTAAATTCAGATAAAATACATTAAGGTTTAACTGAAGATTCCACTGTTAAAGATTCATCTTGTAGTGAATAAAAATCTCACGATTAAATAAGATTTTCAGAGTCAGTCTAATAATTTTATAAATCTTCAAATCTTTTATCTCCAGCCTTATAAGTGTCACCAAAGACTTAATAAAATGATTTAGAAAGTAGAATAGACTCTACTTTAGCTTAGATTAGAGCGATTAGATTATAGATTTAACAATTAAATAAAAAATGATTAATTTTCAATTTCTTAAAATGAGTATATATTTCAATTTCATAAAGATCATACTTTTAATTGTAATCTTATTAATAACTAAATATATTATTATAGATAGTTTTAAAATATAAATCTTATTTCAAATTGAACCATAAAATTATTTCTAACTAGAGGAAAACGATTCATCGGTTTCATCAACTGGTAAAAATGATTCTCCTGCTAAACCAAATCTTTTTCTAATGAATTTTCCTACACAACTAATAATTAAAATATAAAATCTTAATACGTTTTTTATAAGCAAGTGATACATAGAATCATATCAATGATAGTAATAAGCATGGGAATATTTGCTAGTCCTTTCTTTCTTCCAATACATAAATTATAAAATAATCCTATGATAACAAGGAAGATAATGATATAAATGGCAAAGGCTTAAAAATAATGAGAAATTATAATTACTTATACTATCACTCTCCTAATATTTTGCATTAATGACATTTTATACTTTGAATGCATAATTACAATCTTTTACAATGACTAATGTAATATCTTTAAAATATTGAAATGGAAAAGTAATTTCAATCTTTGATGTTCCTAATCCAATGCACTTAAAATTAAGTGTAAGAACACTTTCTTTTTCAGTAATTAAACCTCCATTTACTAAATCACCTTCAAACCAAGCTTTAGTAACATTTTCCATTTCAATATCTACATATGGTAAGGTCAGATTAACCTCAGGAATAGCTTTAAGAGTTGCTGTATCAGTTATGAAACCTTCTGGAATAGGATCATTTGTAGGATTAGATTATTTCATTTGTAAAATAAATTTGATAACATTAATGTCTCTAGCTACATTAAACACGTAATTATCTAAATCTGAATCGAAATATGAAGCATTAATGATTTCTGAGTTTTTGATTATTTCTTGTCTATAGTTTTTATAAATCATATCTACTGCAAATCCTTCTCTTAATGTGAGGGGATTTCCACAAAATTTTTTCCAATAGATTTGAGCATCACCACAATTTGGTACTAAAAATGTCATTTCATAATTAATAAGAGTTCCCCCATATTGTTTGCATTTGTAATTAATTTCAACAGCATATTCTGTATGTTATCCATTAGGTCTATGATCTAAACGTGTCGTCGAATCAGCAAAATAATGATCATCAAAATCTAATTAGAAGTTTTCCAAACTCAAATTAGGATCATCACTTGTGATGTAAAGATAATCTATATTTTAAGTAGCTGGAACTATGATTGGGTTTTCTAGGTGAATAATAAGATTAAATTACTGGCTTTTCTATTCCATTATTTGGATGCAATTCCTTTAGAAATTATATCATCTTTTGATTTTTTTAGATTTGTGCTTACATGCAATGATTTACAGATTTCACTTGAGAGTACAAAGTGTAAAAAGGATAGAAGGATATAAAATAAAAACATTAAAAAACAATAATTGAAAAAATCAATTTGGAATAAATTAATCATTGATCCACCTTATGAATCCTATTTAAATATTCTCTAATGGCTTTAATACGTTAAATGAGATTTAAAGGTATCATTGATAATAATAAGGTTGTTCTTCTGATCTATGAATTTTTTAATAAATAGATTTACTTCATTATTAATTTTATTGGCAATAGGCCACCAGAATAATAAGTAAACTAGAACCAAAACAACTAAAAAAACAATAAAAATAGTAACAGTAGTGGTTGTATTGGTATCAATATCTTTTTGCAAACTTTAATTAAATGTAACCAATAATTATTAGAATATTGATCTAATATAAATATCCTGCATTTAATCTATTTAATAAATAAATAATATACTTATTTCTATTGCAGCAATATCTGTATACATGAGTGATAATATTTTATTAGTTTATAGATTATCTGTGAAATTGTAAAGAGTTCCTGAAATTGTAGTTGATGAAGAATCATTAAGGAGAGAATCATAAACAGTAAGTAAATACCTAAGATTTTCAAAATGTCTTGAAAGTGCTAAAGCTAAAGATTCATCTACAATTCCTTTGACAAATGCTTAACAAGTTGTTAAATCTACAGGTGCAACTTGGATAACTTAGGCACATGCTCCTGCTTTCATAATTGAATCAAAATAATCATTATAAAGAGAATTGTGATAACCCAAATTTAATGAATGATCCTTTTGCATATTTGTATTAAGATTATATAAATCTTTTACAAAGTCTGTTGAAACAGTTTTTGAAACATTATTTTTTACAGGGAAGGTTGGATCCAACAACATTTATCTAAAAACATTATTAGCAAAAGTTATTGAAGGTACTGCAAGTGAAGTTGCATTCATTTCTTAAATCAATTATTACATTGAACTCTATAAATTAGCACCAATAAGATAATGAGCAATAAAATAAGCAATCAACAATCCCATAGAAATGATGAATTTAATGTAAAAGTTACGTTTATCTTTAGAATCATACTTATACTTCTTTCTTTTCTTTCTTCTTCCAAATTCTTCAACAACCCCTTCTCCTTCCTCATTTTCATCAAATGATACATCATTTTCTTAATTAGCATCTTCATCTTCCCCTATTTATAAAGTATTAGAAAAGGCTTCACATTTAGCAAATAATTGCTTAACTTTAGCTAATGGAATCTCTAAGAAAAGTTTAATAACTTCTTCTTGATTCTAAGAGACTAAATTAAAAGCACAAGCAATCCAGGGTATGGATACAACTGTAAATACACAAGCAACAATTAAGAGTATAAGTAATACATCAGAATCATAAGCTAAACTTATAAGTTGATTTGTATAAAGATCTGCACTTTCTAATGTTGCTTGATAATAATCATTAAGCAAATTATACCTAATGAAAAAGATGGAGTCAGCATCAGGATCAAAATCTTTTATATCAAAATTCATAACTTCAAATGCCTTTGAGATGATCTATGATGTACCTTAATTGATATCAACTAATTAATTGCTTTCAGATCCACTACTATCCTTACTAATCATCTTAATAGTATTAGTAGTCATTAATTCATCTTATCTGCCTGTTACTTCAGTAGAGGATTGAATTTTAGATTAGATATCTTTCAAATCACTTATTGTTGTATTCATATTTGTTAATTATGTCTTTACTTTATCATCAGTAGCTAAAATATTAATTTTATTCAATCTACACAATTCCATAATTTACCATTGTATTCTTTACCCTAAAGCAACTCTAATATTAGAATCTTGCATCATTATATATCCTTCTTAAATATCAGAGAATAATTATTATGTCAATACATAATCAAGTAATCCCAATACACCTAAACAAATAATTAAAATAGCAGCACTCCATTTAAAACAAATCATACTGTTTTAATTGACATTTCTACTTTCTTATAAGAATTAAACAAAAGTTCTTCTAGATTTATAAATGTTAGCATGACCTCCTTCTGCTTCTTCTTCATCATCTTCTTTTTATATTTATTACATTCCTGCAGTTCCTGCTCCCTTTTTTTAATCATTATCTTCTTCTTCATCTGAATCTTGATTCTTAAATTCATCAATATCAAAAAGTTATCCATTTATATATTTCATTGTTCTAATTCCAACAGCAAAATCAACTTTATCATCCTTTTCTCCTACATTAGAAGAAGGAGTCTTTTCTTCTTCCTTCAAAGGTTCTCTTTGTGAATAATCAAAGGTTTCATCTTGTTTGACACTTGAAATAGCAGACATCTAGAAATTCTAATCACCTGAAAACTCTCCTACATACATATGTTATGCCTAATCAAATTAGAAATAGAATTTGGTTAATGATTATTATTTCTTTTATTAAGATTATTCATTAGGATTAAGAAATGATTTTTCTTATTTGTTATTTTCAATTTTAATTATATATCCTTATAATTTAGAATCTCTGAACATAATTTCTCCAGCAGTTATATTAAATTTCCCCTAAACAGATTAATCTCTATTCTTAAAATTGATATCTGCTTCTGCTCCTGTTTTATTTAAATATTCAGTAATATTTTCTTAGAAATTAGGTATTATATCTGTAACTTTAGTCTTCTTCTTTGTTATATAATTTAAATCTATATGAAACATTGTTATAAAGGTAGCTGAAATATTTTCAATCTCTTGAGTCTATCCATTAACAATCATAAAGGCTACATTTTTAAATACTTTTTCTTGTCTCATAGCTCCAAAGAATTATGCACCATGTATAAATGATGGAACATATCTTACATAAATAAAGAATGGAAATATATATCCATTCTTTGATTTTCCAATAATCATTCTTTCTCTATTCATTATTCTACTTTCATAGGTTTATAAATATGTTTCCATAAATTAATCATGAGATTAAGCAAATACATTTGGCATCAATATATTAACTTTTCTATTAATTAATTCACTCTTTGAATAACCAAACATTTTTGATGCTGACATATTCAATCCAATAATTCTTCCAAAAGTCACATCTTCAGCTGAAATACTAATTAAAGCAGTAGATTCATTAGGAAAATCATTAATATTATTAGTAATTTTACCTCTATCCATATTAACAGAATAAAAATTCTTCAATCTTTCCAATACTTCTTCAGCTGATTCTTTATCATAGAGTATATCAACTAGATATCTTGAATAAATCATCATTAAATTTGGAGGAACATCTAAATTCATTTTAATTATTCGTTTCCATGAATCTTCCAACATTTTATCTATATACATCATTCTAGTTCCAACATCATATAATTTTCCTAAATCTGGTGTATCTTCACTTAATTATGACCAAAATTCTATATGTTATGATGCTGATTTTTCAATCTATGCTCTAATTTCTCTAAGATTATTTTCAGTTGTCAATTCATTAACAGCATCAATACCAGCAGCTGGATTTCTTGATGATTTTGAATTTTCAAACATTTACTCTTCTATTAACTTCTTTAATCTATAGATAATAAATTATTCATCAACATATGGTTTCTCTTATTCTGCTGCTACTAACTCTTATAATGCTTATTGATTTGATTACATTTTTTCCATTAAAAATAAAGAATGAGAAATTCGTAATTCTGTACAATTTGGAAATCTAGTTAAAGATAAAGTAAATATTCTTTCCATAATATATACTAAAACAACATACTATTCTTTAATTTCATCATCTTAATTTTATAATTTAAAGTTTTTTTGAAATTTTGCAATTTTCTTATTACCCATATTTTTTGCTTAACAAGGACAATCTTCTCTTTTACATATTGTCCTATGATATTCTACAAAACCATCCAATAATGTGGCTATATTCCTATCTGTATGATAATAATTCAAAAATTTAGTTAAGTATTATAATTATTAAATTGCTTAATTGAGTGAATCAAATTTATTTGAATCAATCATCATTATATCATATCTATATTCTTTTCTAAGCATAACTATCAATAATAATAAAGGACTTCCAAAAACCCATAAATAAGGTGCCCCTTCATAATAGGTATCTTCAACAATTATACCAAATATTATCATACATATTGTCCACATAATTATGGCATGTTGTGAATTTAATACTTTTGAATAATAGTAATTTAAATAGACACTTGATTTGTTAAATGAAAAAAATTATATGACTGCAAATAAAGTAATTATGATCACTACTAAAATTCTTAATTCATTTACATTCAGTAAAGTGAAACATAATACTAAAATTATTTTAAAAATCAAGAATTTCATATCATCTCTACCAGATATCTTACAAAGTGGATTATTTGGCTGGAATCTTGATTCATAAAATGTCATTGTAACTAATCCACTAATACAAATTAAAATGAATGCTGCAATTGCTGATAAGAATGCATGAAGTAAATAATTTCCTGTATAACATTCTTAATCAGAATAATATTTATGATAGCCTGTACCTGAATCGCAATAGAAGATAGTCAAAAAAAGATGTAAGGCTGGCATAAAGAAAATGTAATTGAGTACTTCAAAAAATATTTTGAGAACGACCAATGGTCCACTCAACTTACCTACTGATGTAGTTTATGCTTTTATTGCAATGAAAATAATTAAAATAATTAGCAAGAGGAAAAAACCCATTATGATATAAAGCACTAGGATGAAACTTTGAAATTCTACATTCTTCAAATATGGGGAAATCATAAAGTACCCAAAAAATGATTGAAATGACTCTGACCATGATTTAACCTTCCATAATGACAAAAACTATCATAATCACCAAAATATGTATACTTCATCACTAAAAGCAAAGTAAAACACTTGGAAACTCTCAATTACAACAAAAAAGATGTAAAGAAATAGCGGGAAGTTTTCTCCAGAAATTAAATAGTAAATGATTTCAAAAAGTAGATTCTTAAAAGAGCTTTACATCTTATCCAAAGCTGATTTATCATCATCAAATATAGAAACACCTTGCATGTTTTATATTATTTATGATTTAAATATATAATAAAATAAACAATATTTTTTAATAATTTGTATATGTTAAATCCCAAATATATGTATCACTTTTATCTTACAAATAATTATATTTATTTAATGCTATTATTTTTTAATTGGTTTCAAGTTGATTGGTTTGTCAAATTTGATTGATCTATTTTAAAAAATAATGATAAATTAAAATTATTCAACAAAAATTGATTAAGCATAATCTTGATATAATGTATCCAACTTCTGTTTATCTTATTTGTCCTTAAATATATAATTTATTAGTATCAAGTAAAATCAAGATGTCTATTTTCCAATATTTATCAAACAAAATTCAAAGCAAGAATATTGAAACTTAAGAAAGTTTGCCAACTGAAAATTCAAGCCTTTTCAACTCCTTCAATTATTCTGATTTCTTTGGTTTAATTATAATTGTAGGATTCCCTCTACTAATATCCATTTTCATTTATATAACTATCAATAATAATCCTACCTAATAATCTATTTTGTCTTGAGTTTAATAGAATACAATATTAGATTTTTCCACTTTTCTAATGCATGAATTCAATTCTAAAAAAAGAATTATCATTTTACAATTTTTTCATCCCCACAATATGCATTATAAGTAATTACTATAATAATAAATATATAGATCAAATTGGATTTTATCTTAAATATCTTAACTTTTGATTGCCCAATTCGGAATCTGTATCTATAGATATTCAACAATAGATTATCTGCACAAAAATAAAATAAATTTAATGCATCTTTGCTTATTAAATAATATGTTCTAAATAGGTATATGATAAGTTATATTCTTTTATTTATAAAGGATGAATTAATCAAAAAAATACAGAAACTCTGATGAGACGAAATCCCATTAAGGTCATTTTTCGTTTTTTTTGTTTAAGAATAGTTATGAAGATTGGTAAATATTTAATTATCTTAACCTATTCTTTAAAATATCCATTGAAACTCATATAATGTAAAGAATATTAGGCAATTTAAAATAATTTTCATTTATTAATATTCAATGCTGATATTTCTAATTTAATGCGACCTGAAGCATTATCCACTCTTTATCTATTCTTATCTAAAGATGTTAATGAACATTTTCCTTTCTTAGATTTACAAGTGAATTTAAATCCATTTTTAAAAGCATTCATATCTGGAACATAAATTATAGTATCACAATTTTTTATAGAATCATATTTCAAGCTAAATTATTATTTTTTTGAATTGAACTATGAATAATATACTTTAGATCCACAAATTTGTTAAGCATATGGTCTAACCAATGCTTCCATTTTGTAATTCTAAAGAGATCCATCTTAATTGAAAATTCCTTCATCATACATATTTGATGCAGTTGTAAAATCATTGTATCCTTTATATTACCAATAAGCCCAAGATTATAGGTATTTATCTGCTTTATACAATAAACCATTGAGTATGTCTTTGGCAAATGGTTCATTTGGTAATGCTCCAAATTCAGTTAGCATAGCACCAGTTCCTAAATGATTGATGTTCATTTTCTTTAATGGATACATAAAATTATATAACTATTTACAAAGGAAGGTAGAAACATTTTCTTATTGATATGAATAATATAAATACCAATTCCACAATAAAGATGATAGCTCAATACTTCTTTTTTTTAATACTTTTTGCCACCTACATTGTGTTTGAATCCAACTCCCATAACATCTGTGAAATAAGGTTCAAAGAATACAAGTTTTTCAGTGTCAACTTCTCTAATGTATTTATTTATTATTTAATAAAATGGCATAATGAGATGTTTATTAGCCCATCCTGGCCATACATATTATATTTTGCTTCTTTAATAATTACCAGAGGCAGGTTCATTCATAATTTCATATCCTAATACATTCCATTCTCCTTTATGTAATTCTGCAACTCTTTTCCAAAAGAGTCCAAACATATCTGCTACACCATTTTCATTTTTCAATATTGATTCTAAATTCTTGCCAACATCTGAAGTCAAATAAAATTTAGCAAAGTTGTCCTATTTCAAACAATCCTCAATTAATGGATATCCTTATTCATCTAATCTTAATTCAATTGTTTATGGAGCTGGAAAATCTGTTTTAGTAACAGCCCAATCTGGAAATCCTTCTCCACAAAACTATCTATTTAATAAGTCTTAATGAGCATCAAGAATAACGTAAATATTATATTTTGCAGCCAATCTCACTATATCTCTTATGTGGAATAGATATTCATCATTTAATATTCCTCTTTGGGGCATTCCAGCTTCAAATGCAACATGTAATCTAATTACATTAAATCTAAGAAGATAATATTTAATTATAATTACCCTAAATCAACTAGGAGTTGGCAATCTTCATCAGAAAATGATGTCATCACATCGAAATGATCAGTTATGGGGAAATATGGAGCTGGTTTATAGACTACATTAAAGCCATGGAAGATTCTGATTGCTCCATTCTTATAATTAATAAAGTTATTACTTCATCAACAAAGTTTCCATGTTTATTAATGTGAACTGATACTGCTATTCCAATAATACATAATAAAAAAATCATATTTAATTTAATATCCTTTAAATTCCAAATATAATTAAAAAAATCGTTAAAAAAAATAAATGGGCAACGAACCATCAGCTCCAAATGATAAGATTGATTTCTTAAGACCAGTATAAAAGAAAGCACCAGAACCTACTTAAATCAATAAGGTATAGTAGAATGAATGGAGAATTGGATTGCAACATCCTCATCTCTTATAAACTTTAGGAGGACAACCTGAAGGTGATTAGTATAGATACTTTTTCGAATTCTGTCCAATCACTTTAACATCTCTACTCTAAGAACGATATGGAACAAAAAAGTACTTTCCTGAAGAAGACTTATAAGCATTGCTTTTAGGTATAAGTAGTGCATTGAGTTTCTTGTAAGAAAAGGGATTGTCACATGGAGGTAATTTAAAATCATATATCAATTAGATATTTGTACAACAGAAATATTCTTTGATTCAAATAGTTCGAGTTTCAAAGTTTTGGATTCAAATTTAATTAATGGAAGAGGAGCTTCTATTCAATAATTATTGTCAGGAAAATTGAAATATCTTGCACCAGAAATATTACAAAACCCAACACAACCATTATCTGAAATGTAATTGAGTAAAAATGATGTTTGGTGTTTGGGCATGGTCATGTTAGAAGCTAGTACTCTTAAACAAAATGATAATCTCTATCAAAATGGCTTATAATTTAGATTAATCTCAGATAGAATTAATGAAGTAGCGTAAATTTACAATTTACAATATGCTGAAAATATAGCTCTGATGCTTAATTTCAACCCAAATGAAAGATTAGATCCAGTTAATCTATTTAATTATCTACTGGAATAATAAAGAACTGCAAATGAATAAGATTAATAAGTTGTTTAACAATAGTAATATTAACAATTGCTTTAATAATAATAATTGTATTAATAATAATTATGTTAACAATAATAATAATAATAATAATAATAATAATAATAATAATAATAATAATAATAATAATAATAATAATAATAGTTATTATATTAATAATCCTAGTAGTAGTAATTGACTTATCAATAGGCTTAGTAATCCCAATTATAACACTAATAATAAACAATCTAATATTTACCTTAATAAGTCGAACAATAAAATTAATAACAATAATTAGTATAACCACAATAATTATAACAAACTTAAGTTCCTCCCTAATACCTTCAATAATAATAATAAACAATCTAATAGCAATAATATAATACTCAATAAACACAATATTTATAATAATAGCAATATGCTTAGACTCAACAACCAAGATAGAACTCTCATTAATCAAGGCCATCCTAAGATTTTATGATGACTTAACCTGATATGAATCAAACTATGTAAGGAGGTGTTTCAAGAGAAAGAGTTCCAACCAAAATTATCAAAAAGTTAGTATATCCTGATGGAAGAGTTGAATATTAAGAGAAATCTCATTCAGCATCTAGAATGGGTAATATATTATCCTATTTTTTTAGTTTAATAACCCTAATAATAGAAACCATAATAAATGATTCCTTAACAATAATAACCCTAGGCTATGCCTTAGTAATAATAAATAATGGCATAACAATAATAAATGATTTAATAATAATATACTTAGTAACCCTAATATAATCCATAGTTTTAATAATAATAATATTTGTAATAGCCATAACCTCAATATTAATAGAGATAGAATGTTCTTGGTAATATTGAAAACTAAATGTAAGTTGTTACTAATGAACAAAATATAACTAGATTGAAATAAGAAATTGAACACTCTAAGACTTTAATTTAATAATATAACTAATAAAAACCATAAGTTCAAGCTGAATCAATAGAGGAGAGAATAAGAAAAGTTATTGCACAATCATAAGCTTTAAGAGAAAACTTTTCATGAATTATATATATATATATATTACAAATTATCAGATAATGCTACCTAAATTAAATCAAACTTCATCAGTATAATATGTGAAATCTCAAGAAGATTTAAGCATAAATGAAGCCAAAAGACGTTAAAAATAACTTGAGTTAGAATAACAAAATGTTGAAAACAGAATCAAATAACTTACTAAAGAGAATGAGAAACTGTCCAAAAAAGTTTAAATGGCTGAGTAATTAGCTCTAGATGTTTATGCTTCACGTCTTGCTTAGAAGATTAAAGTAATTGTTTATTTCTTAAAAAATACTTAGAAAGAACAGAAATTACAATAATAATCAACTGTTGATCCAATGAAATATTAATAAACTTAATATGAAAGAATGAATCTTAGGAAAATGAAATAAGAAGTAAAAGAAATGAAACATAATGATGCATAATTGATGAAAAAATCTATTAAATACGAATTGATGAGAGCTAATGAAGAATAAGTGAAAAAAGCATAAAATTTGAAATTAAGAGCCGCTTTAATTAAAGAAGATGAGAAATTATCTTAGGCAGTGAT